ACACACACACACACACACACACACACACACACACACACACACACACATCCTTGTATAGAAGTTATACAAATTTTGTAATGCCTTCCATTTTTTCCATGATAAATAATAGAAAAGGAGCATATCTAGTCAAATACCATAGATCCATAGAGTTAGTTGTAAAGCCCTTTAGATCCCAGCTCTGTGTTAACTTTATGTCTAGTTATTTTTTTTACATCTGTATTTATTGAAACCTAAATAAGATAATTCATATAACATTTACATTCTAGCCAGATTGCTCCTATTTTAAATATACACACATTCATAAATGCCACATATTTTAGATGTGAAAAATGAAATAGAGAAGATAGATAGTTTGCTTTTCAGACAGAAATCCATAAATTTATGTTGGATAAAATAAGTAAATGTTGGCTCATGGATTCATAACTCTACAATTTAGATTTTACTGAAAACACTCACTTTGTATTTAATGGGAGACCAATGAGCATGCTTCATTATTTGCTTTTGTTCAAAATTAAATTACTATGTATTAAAAATAAATTCTAGGAAATGACAAAAGTTTGTATAACTGACTCATATATTTATATGTATATCAGATAGAGTATAATCTATTTGACATATTATGGTGTTTGTATGTATAATAATTGATTATAGATATGAAATTATAAATGACAAGTAAGTTAATAAGCTGATTGACTGCTTTATCCAAATTGTGATATTGAATGAAGAAATATTATTCATGTAATATATACATTTAATACACACTAAACCTGAACACACACCCCACTTCCCCCCCTTTTTAATTCTGTCTATGTAGGCTAATCCTAACCCTATTTGGACCAAGAACCTGTGAAACTATTCAGCACAGTGACTGCTGCATTAAATCCTAAATGATTCTAAACAACAGTTCAAACTGAAAAGATTAAAATTAAGTATTAGCTGTCTGTAAAGAAACATTAAGGTATACAAAGATGAATTAAAATTGTAAAATTAATAGAGAATGTATTTGTATCAGCATAGTGGCAATTATTCATACTAACCTTCAGTAATATAGCAAGGAAAAATAATAGGATCAGCACTGAAAATCTTATTTTGCATCTTCAAAATCTTTAACAGATCTAAATAAAATGACATATTAATGGATCTTAATTCTAAAGATATGGAACAAATAAGAAATCCACTGATTCTCATTATCTTTATGTTAAAGCTTTTTAAAGAAAATGCTTACTATTAATATGTATTGAAACTTCTTAGAACTTCTTAGAAAAATAGTTGCACTTTAAGCATTCTTGCCAAGTGCTGAGTGTAATTAAGGAACAATTTAATACCATTCTGTAGTAACATATGCGTAGGAATATTTACAAGTGATATTCTTACCATCTAAAACATTTTTTCAAAAATAAGCTTCTGCACTTTTTTAAAGTATTGCTGACAGCAAACGATAAAATTATTGTTTCTTTCTTATATGCCTCATGTGCATTTGCCGAAAATATCAAACTATCCTTTGAGTATTAATTAAGACACTGCTGCCAGGAATTTAAGAGACTAAAAGTATGGAAATACTGCTTGTATTGCATAAATACTATACACTGCAAACAATTATTATTTTACTACTATTATTATTTTAATTATTTCTATTTATTTTTATATTGTACTTTTATTTCTTTGTAAACTGCCTTCCATCACTATGTGTGAGTAAGCAGCAAAACAAATTTTATAAATGAATGAATGAATAAAATAATAAGTAAATAAGATAATTTATTCCAGTAGATGTCAATGTTTTTCAGACTTCCAGTACAATATGGAATGTCAATGTCAATGTTTTTCAGACTTCCAGTACAATATGTGTTCTGTGATCACTCAGAATGAATATTTAGATAACTTAATCCATTCATTTATATTTAGGTATTGGTCACTTTTGCCCTAAACTGAATGAATGCAATATAATTTCACTTCTAAGAAGCCCTTCATGGTATTGGATCTGGGTACTTGAGAGACCGCCTACTGCCAATTACCTCCACCAGACCGATTCGATCGCATTGATTAGGCCTC